TTGGAAAAAAAAAATACAAAGTTGAATGTAAAAGTATAGATAATACATCTTGGGTTTTTGCTAGTGGAAAAGTTCACAAACCCTACAAAATAGGTATATATTTAATACATTATATATTTTCTTATTATTATATTTAGATAATTTCTTATATATACATATATAAATTAATATTATTTAAAAAATATTTTTTGTTTTTAGTAAATATTAAACCAATGATAAGAGCAGTAACAGGAGAAAAAATTACATAAAACTCATTTGTCCAAATTAAACAAAATTTGTTAAGCAAAATATCAAAAAATGTTCATTTATCTAATATACAAAATATTTAAATAATGAAAATGTAATGATAATGTAAGTAATTCGTGCAATTAATTTAGAAATTTATCTATTCATGTTTTTATAAGAATAATTTATATCATAATTTTGCATAATTTTTCAATGATAATTTTAAAAATAATTTTAAAAATTTATGATTAAATACATCTATCTTAATATCTGTTTTAATAAACCAGTATATTTTTATATATATTAAAGAAACACAAAAAAAATTTTGAAATATTTTATATGTTAGTATTAAATATTGAAAATATATTACGCATAATTCCAATGTTAACATTTTTATTAAATTTTATAAATGAAGCTATATTTTAAATTTATGAAGTTTCCATGGCAGCAGTTGAATCTTCAGTATATTTGCCCTTATCCTTGCCTAATGCAGCAAGCCTACCTTTACTTCTTCTGTCAATAATCTTCTTACGATCTTTATCCATTTTTAATTTTACAATGACTGTCTGTAAAGCAAACAAAATTTAAATTGTAAAAAAAAATAAATATTTTTATTAATAAAAATAAAGTAAAATCAAAATCAGTGCCAATTTTTCTGCAGTAAAAAAGCTAAGCAAGTCAAATTCATAAATATAAAGGAGAACCCTTTTATATTAATGTAAGTGACAAGCATTATGCTATTTATCTATGTGAATGGTTTAATTCATCATTTATCAAAATTAGATAATATATAGTAAAATATAATAAAAAAAATGGCTATTTTTTTACCTTAGAGGGATCAATACCAACATACACATTAGCAGTATTAATTTTTTCACGTTGAATTCTTTCTATGTATATGACGAATTTTTTCCTGTATACTTGAACAACTTTGCCAACTTGTTGTCCTTTATAATGTCCACGCACAACCTGTTGAAAACAATTATAAATATTTAATAAATTAATCATCAATTATTAATATAATTGTTTTTTTTAATCTTTAAATAATTCATAACATACTTAATATCCTACCTGAACTTCATCATCTTTGCGAATTGGCATAGAACGAACATTATATTTCTGCCGAAGTTCTTTCGACAGAGGAGCCGACATAAGTCTTCTTCGAATATGAGACGGTGCTGTAAAATGCCTCTTTCGGTTTTTTCGGCGCGAAGAAGAAACAAGTCGATTAAATTTCATGGTTATTAGTTACCTGCATATATAAAATATTAATAGATATAACTTTGAATTAATTCTAATAAAATGAAATTTAATAATTCACAGTAAAATTATGCGTTGCATTTAATAGTTTAATAACATTAAATTATTGTTATTTATTTTATTTTTGTATATTTATTTATATATACAAATATAATAGGTTAGAATAACTGTCATTAAAAATATAATTATTATTGATATATTATAAAATTATTAATAATCATATTTATAATTTAAAATTAACATAATTTTCATGCAAAATCTTTATTGAAATTGTTTATTTAATTCCGATTGAAATCGATTTAAATTTTAACAAACTCACCGTCAATGATTCTATCGCGTAACTTTAACCGGAAGAGCGTTTACTTTTATGATGCCTGAAAGCGAAACAAATTTAGTAACTTTAGTTCTTAATAACTAGTCTAGTAACTTTATAATTCACTAAATTATTCGGATTAGTTATTAATTTTAATCCGAATTTTTATGATAATATTATAGCGAATTCGTATTGATTAAAAATTTTAATAATATTACAAAATATATTTTATAATTGAATAGATGCATGTGTATAATAAATTAAATTTAAATATATACAAAAATAATGTGTAATCTCTCTTGACATACGTAGATGAATATGATGTGAGTTTATGCCATCTATATTAATCCATAGGTAATTGTGGTTTACAATTGCAATATCACCATTTTCAAAATCTAATGAAAATATATTTTATAATTGAATAGATGCATGTGTATAATAAATTAAATTTAAATATATACAAAAATAATGTGTAATCTTTCTTTATAATTGCAAGTCCTTATATCAAAATATAATTTTTCTTTATTTCCCCTATATTAGTCTAGTTCTTTTTTATTTTTCTACAAATAGAAATTTTTCGCCATTAAAAAGCTTATTCTTTTGACATATAACGCAGATGAATGTGATGTGAGTTTATGCCATCTATATTAATCCATAGGTAGTTGTATTGTTTTACAATTACAGTATCACCATTTTCAAGATCTTATGAAAATATTGCCGTTATGGGGCTACTAATTGTACAACGACATTCGATACATCATACAAAGCAAGTAAGTAAATAATTGATCAACAAAATTTTTGTTTATTGAATGGAATATGTTTGTTTATATTATAATTATTAATAATTTTTAAAACAGTACTAAAAGTACTATCAGTAGATTTTAAAATATATTTTTTTTGTTTCGTACAAATTATTTTTATTATCAATTTTATTATTTCTTCTTTTGTTTTTTGATATTGGTTTGACTATTTTTTTATTTTTACTTTTTCTAATTTTTTTTAAGTGATTTGGTTTTATGTTGACAATTTAATAAATGAGTAAAATTTACGGAAAAAATACAAGTTTTATATTATCCTAAAATTAAATTTATATTATATTAAATTAAATTCATCAATGATTTTAAAAATTCTAAAAATTATGACATTGACTAATGAATGCTAAAGAATATATCGATAAAACAATAAATTGCAGTGTTGATTTCGTAAATAAATAAAATATATTAATTATAAATTAGATATAAGTTAAACAAATTTTTGGTTGCTTTCAAACAGTTGATAATACAAAAATCAAATCGGTTCTATCAAAATTATTTGTTTATAATGTCTGACTCAGCATTCGCCATTTGTTGTTCATCGAACGGATGGATTGTAAACGAAGCCAAAATGGCTTCAGCATATTAGTAATCTTTATGTATTTTTAAATATGCATAACTTTTGATACAATGATTTTTTAAATTTAAGTTCTATATTTTTGCATTCTATTCATTAAATTACTATCAAGTGATAAATAAATAAAATAATTTTTTACCCAATATAAAAAATATGAATAAATGCAATAAAAATATATTTGTACGAAAGAAACAGAGAGAAAGAGAGAGAGAGCACGAAAACATACACATTATATAATATATATATGATGAAAGTTTTGCAATTTAATCACAAAAATATAGATTCAGTAAAAAATAAAGACAAAAGAATAATAAAGAAACATTGATCAAGATATAATTTTTTTACAATTTTTCTTCAAATTTAGAATTTGTTGATCAAACATATCCGTTCAAACAGCCGAAATTAAATAAAATTAAAAAAATTAAATAATATAAATAGATTCTTTTCATATTTTTCTTTTCTCAAAATGACTTTTATATTAAATGTA